GGATGCAGTATACCACATTGGCAGATGTGCAGGTGAACATCTGCTTGATGTGGAAAGTCTTCTTGGGGGATGCAGTATACCACATTGGCAGATGTGAAGATGTGAAAAAGCTTTTCTCTCTCCCAAGATGTTTCATAGACGATGCACCATTCATGGCCATGTCATTGACATTTGAAACCAGAGCTGGATGTCTTGATTTTACATTGAATATTTATTAGTAAACAAAGAAAAAAAAAGAAATGGTGAAGAACCCTTAACCAAGCTTTAAAAGTATTTAAAGTTGAACACAGTATATTAAGCGAAAAAGACACCTGCTACATGGAGCAAAGACACATGGCAGACTGATGCAAGCATAGCTTTCAGTTGCAAGATGATCATATTATTGACAAATATGGACTATGCTCTTTATGTTTCTGATAATATTACTTTAGACATGTTCAACATTTCACCTTTAGCCTTTTACTGCTCGCCAAAAACTGCACAAGTTCTGATGAACAGTTTTGAAACAAAATTCACAAAGTACAGTATAATACTATTAAAGTTATGTTTACATTTTGGAATGGCTATGAAATCTAACCTAAAGTATAAATGGGTTGGTTTAGCACCAATGAGAACCAGGAGAATTTCATCACTTCCACTGAAAGGGAAAAAGGAGCATTGCACTGATCTTGTGCTGCATCTCCCCAGCAGGTGGCTCAACATTAGCCCAATTCAAAGGCTTAGTGAGGAGGTGTTTCTCTCCTTATTCAATGAATAATCATTTGCTACAGCAGATTTCTAGCCCCCGAGAACTGCTGGTTGCGTAGTAACTGGTTTGGGATCCAAACAATTACATCACATAGCTTCGTGGCATGGCAATAAAATACATATAACATTCAGCACAATTAAAAGAATGTTTCTGCAGAGCAAAGGTTTTCTTCAGGGATAGACTTCAGAACTTCTGACATTTTTAAAAAAAAAACAAATTGCCAAAGATGGACAATGACACCAACTTCAGGGTTGGTCCTTTTTTCATTGAAAAGTGCAGCTTTTCGAAGATTTTTGCCACCCTTACTTTTCTCATCAAGCATCCATGTAATCACCTAAAAGATGTGAAAGTGGGATCCTAGGGAATTTCCTCTTCAATTTATTCTCTCCACTTTTCATTGCAGCAATAACTCATAGTGCATTTGATGTAGTAAAACATCCTAGGGCCCTTCACAAGATCAAAACAAAACAAAACTGGATATGAAGTAATTAGGACGTATTGAGACAGGGGAGTTAAATCTTGCTAAGTATTAGGAATGGTTTCAAAGCAAGACAGAGATGTAAATGAGTTTTGGGATTGAATTCCAGAGCTTAGGACTTCAAGAGCTGAAGGCACAGTCACCAATGGTGCCACAATTAAAATTAGGAATGCCAAAGCGGTCACTTTCACAATGGCACGAGACTGAGTGCTGATGACTCAAGGTGCACAACAGTGTAAGCTGGCTACAGGGAAAGCAAACAGAGTTTTAGTTTTTAGACTAATTTTGGGTCGAATTGCATAGACCATCAAGTATGAAGCTACATAAGGTTTTGGCATATCTACATGAAGAACTGTGCCCCATCTTCAGTCCTCATATTGGTAAAGGATATGGTGGCTCTGGAGATGATGCTGAAAAACACACCAGAATGACATCTAGTCCCTTGGTTTGTAGTTGTGAGGTCAGGCTCTAAGAGTTAGAGTTATCTAGAGAAACAGAGGCTTAAAGAGGATGTAACTGAAGTTTTAAACAGGATTTAACACAGTCCGAAATAAAAACAGAAATTTCTGTAAAAGGTCTGGCAGCATCTGTGGAGAGAAATCAGAGTTAACGTTTTGGGTCGAGTGACCCTTCGTCAGAACTGATAGTAGCTAGGAAAATGTCAGTTTACATACAGAAGATAGGGAAGGGGGTGTAAGAAGTATTCAATAGGTGATTGGGGTTAGAGCCCAGAGAGAAAGAAGAACAGTTGGACAGACAAAGGAGTGGATAATGATTCAGCTAGGAGGGTGAATAGCTGTTAGTTAATGTGACCTGTTTGTGGCTAACAATAGCAGACTATGTCATAACAAGGCCTGGTGTGGAGCTGGGATAAGGACATGGAAGAGCTCAAACCCTAAAGTCGAACTTGATATTGAGTCCAGAAGGCTGCAGGGTCCTAAGTAGACAATGAGGTGCTGTTCTTCCAGCTTGTGCTGAGCTTTGCTGGAGCACTGCTGCAAGCTGGAGACGGATGTTGGCCAGGGAACAGGATAGTATTTTGAAGTGGCAAGCAACTGGAAGCTCAGGGTTTTTTTTTTGCAGACAGAACATAGTTTAGACACGAGATGTTGCAGAACACCTATCTTTAATTTTCCAGATATCTTGGCTTAGTCACTAAATCTATAAAAATAGATTTAATGGAGCTGCCCAGGTCTATCTTCAGGAGTACAGTCACATAGACAAAATGCTATCCTGTGGAACAATAAACTTCCAGTTTGAGGGCTCAACCAAGAGACGGTTCCTTTGTGCTTTCGGATTTCAGATGTTGTTTTTGCCCCTGCAACTAGCAAGAAATTAGGTCAGCAAATTGAATTTTGGCTTTTATTGCTAGCGAGACACATTACAAAAGTAGGAAGGTCTTGCTACAACTCCATAGGGTATTAGAGTGACCACACCTAGAACACTGCACAGTTTTGGTCTCCTTACATGTGGGAGGATTTAGCTGCACTGGAAACAGTTCAGAAAAGGTTTACCAGGCTGATTCCTGGAATTAAATGATTGCATTATAAGTGATAATGAGGAGGATTTGACCTTTACTCATTGGACTTTAGAAGAATGAGAGGTGATCTTATTGAAAGATGAGATTGAGGGAGGATTTGACTGCGTACATGCTGAAGATTTCATGGGGAGAAATAATCAAGAATTAGGGAATAATAGAGAGTCTCCCATTAAAGTCAGAAATGTGGAGGAATTTCTCTTTCACATGGTCGTTGGAATAGTCTTTACTGGAGACCAGTGGAGGCTGAGTGATTGAATATTTGGAAGGCTAAATTAGACAGGATTTTTCATGTACAGGGGAGCAGTGTTCCTTCTAAACTGCACAGCCACAATTCTGCTCCAAGGTTCCACACACAATGATGCATTAACTTCCAGTTTTAGAAGTTGCTGCCACGCATGGAGTTCAGAGGTCCACATACTGGGGCGAAGAAAAAGAGGGCGTATTTCAGGGGATCAGATTCAAAATCAGTTAGGAAAAAGTGAAGTTAAAAACCACAATTAGATCAGCTATGTTCTAATTCAACGATGAAGCAGGATTGAGGGGTCAAAATGGCCTTATCCTATTTCTTATGATTTGTATACACTTCAACTCCAAGTTTGCCTGCGAATAGCAACAAAATGCTGGAAGCACTCAGTAGGTCAGGTATCATCTGTGGGGGAAATAGGAACCAAGTTAATGCCCTGTTCTGAAGAAAGGTCGTTGACCCAAACAGTTCATGGTTTCTCGCATCCCCTCACCACAGATGCTGCCTTACCTGTACAGTACTTTCACCATGTGTTTTTATTTTACACATTTACAAGGATGCTATGTCAATGCTTTCAGCAAACCGTGTGAATTTACTCTTGCTCAAAAACAAAAGGGGATCAGAATAGATTGAACCTGTTTGAATAAACCTAAGCAGAGACACTGGCATGGATGCATTATACCTGCTGAGTGAGTCGTTCACGCTCTTTCTCCAGCATGTAGGTCACATCATCCCCTTCAGCTGTGTCCTGGGCGTGTCTTCGTCTCTCTTCTTCCAGATCCATAATAACCTGCAGAAAAAAATAGCACCAACATTAATCAAAAATTAAAGCTCTTGAAAACTTTCCACATATATAATTTTTGTTGATTTCATTTTCTGAAACATCATGAACTACTATATCTTAAAGCAAATTCACAGAAAGCTTGCGTTTACAATTTTACAGTTTTTACAATATGGAACAAAGCTATCTGGGGAATTGTGCTGATTCTCTAGAAGATCAACTGATCTAGTCCAACTCTGCCTTTTTTCTGTAGCCTTGATTTTTAAAAAAAATAAAACTCCCAACACAATCAATCCACGTGCAGCAAGATCCATCAACAATTTAGAAATGTTGAGATAATATGTTTGCAATGTTGGTTCATGATGATTCTAAAAGATTGAGTTTAATTAGACTTCCAGGGATCCTTGCTTTCAAATATATATATAAATTCAGAAGATGTTACTCAAGTTAGCATCCATGCATAAATTAATTGTGACCGGAGTCCCCAGTCATGTGCTTACATTCAGCGAACACTTAACATTCTGACAATCTGAAATCCTTCTTCCTGCCTGCTCTCTCATTACTCTCTGAAATAATCGTAACCAATCTACTTTCCCAGGTTTGAAGCCGGACACAGTTTCTCTTAATCTTCCTTAATGTCTCAATGCTAATCAGGTGCAGATTTCCCAACAGCCTACAGATTTTTTTCATCTCATCAATTTTTAAAAGCAGGTTCCAGTGGTGAAAGGTCAGAATCTAACACATCATCTATCTTTCAGTACTACAAGCAGCTGCTTGTAGCTCGAGATAAAAACCAACTAAAAATGGACATTTAAAAAAAGACGATTAATTTCCACTCATCTAATACGTCTACTGGCCTATTAGTGCTGCTTTTTCAGTGTTCTGACTGAGCTAGGTTGGGCTATTTTGGTCACAAGTTACAACTTGTTGACAGTGAACAAGACAACAGATTTGAAGTTTTTTGCTGCCTCGGCTGAGTTAAAGATTGCACCATCTCCCTTCATCAAAACTGTTAAAAATTACAATGAAAATTTAAACAAGATAGTTCATTTAACTATTTGCCATATAGAACTGTAGCATTATGATATGCAAACATGAGCTACTATACAAGCATTCTGAAGCAATATACACTCAACATTTATTCTATTTCAAATTCTGACATCAAATGAACAATTAAGACAAATTTATAGTTCAGACTACCTGACGTATATCATTAGTGCTCATTAGGCTTAGAACACACCCAATCAGTTGAAAACTTATCAGACAATAATAGGTTAAGTTGAAAACAAGTCTAGTAATTAAGTTTTTTAAAAATGCTTCCACAATAAACCTGATTACTGTAGCAGTTGAGCTGTACTGGATTGTTTAAACTTAAATTATAAATGTGCCTGGTGTTTGGGGGTGTCTACAAGAATCCATCAACAGCTGCGACTGTCAAATCAAAATTAATGTACTTCTGTTGAAGATCTGAACACAAGCCAGACACATCACCACGACGGAGAGGGTGAAATCAAGAAAGCGAGATTCACACCTATTAATCTCATGTTGACACCCTAAAACATAATTTCAATAGTCTAGGCATCAGTTTGGGAACAGGCAGTCTATTTCTTTTTTTGATTGCAGAATAGGATACAATCGAGATGATCTTGAAAACTAAGTGGTGCGTGCAAAATCAGTTACAGACCAGTGAGGTCATCCATTACGAATCCAAAAAAATATACATCGAGACAATTTTTCATGTGATGAGAAGCCGGGAAAGGAAAGACTTAGAGCTCCAAGTTGCTAAAAGTAGATATAAAAAAAGAATCCACAGGCAAATTAAATCTCAAGACAGCTAGAATAATAAGAATTGAAAGTTTTGTCACAGTTATATAAAACTGTGCTTGGACTCCATTTATAGCACTATGTTCAATTCTGGGCCTCAGGAAGAATGGAAGGCTGTGCAGCACAGATTCATTAGAATGATCTGTGGACTTAAAAAAAGTTTGTCTATGTTCACAGGATGTGAACGTCACTGACAAGGCCATCCCTGATTGCAGCTGAGAAAGTTGGTGGGCAAAGTGTGGTGTAGGTGCACTGTCAGTGCTATAAATAAAACCAATGTCGGCTAACACCTGGCACCCTTTTGGCTGAACAGGTACACAAATCTGGCAACATGCACGCACAGAATGCATATACAGTGCATGCTCCATGGTGTCAGCAAATACGGCCATAATAAACACAGTAAATGTGGAAGAAACTCAGCAGGTCTGGCAGCATCTGTGGACAGAGAAAAAGAGAGCGAGTGCTTTGAGGGCAATATGACTTCGGAATTTTGTTGCTGAGTTCGTATTTTTATTTGAGCAATCAATGCTGTTAGATAGGGAGTTCCGGGGTTCTGACCGAATGACAATGAAGGATTGATAACATACTTCCAATCTAGAATGCTGCATAAGTTGGAGGGGACCTCGCAGCTGGTGTGCCTACGTGCCTGCTGCCCTTCCTCTTCTAGGTGGGAGAGAGATTACAGGTTTGGAAGGGCCGTCAATAATAAGGCCATCTCGTTTCTAATTTAGTATTCCCTTGAGTACAGAGACCAAGAGCTGTTTAAGGTGATTAAACAGTTGATAAGGCAGATGGAAAGAAACCATTTACTGTGATAAGGAAGTCCAAAAGGAAGAGGCTACCCTTCAAATTACAGCTAGAGTGTTTAGGGTTGATGTCAGGGAAACAGTTCTTCACACAAATGACAGGAGAAATTTAGAACCTCACACCCATCAAAATACCATTGCAAAGTAGTTGTTGAGGCTAGGTCAACTGTAAATTTCACCATTGGGATCAACTGCCCCCTGCCCATTCACCTTGAACCTTTTGACCTCAGGGCCACATTCAGCTCCCTCTTGAATACATCTAATGAACTGGCCCCAACAGGTTCCTGTGGGAGGGAATTCTTCAGGTTCACAACTCAGTGAAGAAATTCTTCCTCATCTCAGTCCTGAATGGCCTACCCCTTATTCGTAGACTGTGACCCCTAGTTCTGGACCTCCCCAACATCGGGAACATTCTTCCTGCATCTAGCCTGTCCAGTCCCATCAGGATTTTATGTTCCTATTGGATTCCCCCTCATTCTTCTAAATTCCAGCAAATACAAGCCCAGTTGATCCAGTTTTTCCTCATATGTCAGTCCCTGGAATCAGCCTGGTGAACCTTCGCTGGACTCCTTCAGTAGCAAGAATGTCCTTCCTCAGACTAGGAAACAAACTGCACACAAAACTCAAGCTACGGCCTCACCAAGCCCCTGTATAACTGCAGTAAGTCATCCTTACTCTGATACTCAAATCCTCTCACTGTGAAGGCCAGCATGCCATCAGCTTTCCTCACTGCCTGCTGCACCTGAATGCCAACCTTCAGTGAATGTTCCACCATGACATACAGGTCTCACTGCACCTCATCTTTTCCTAAACTGCCACCGTACAGACAATAATCTTCCTTTCTGTTTTTCCAGCCAAAGGGGATAGCCTTACATTTATCCATGTTATTTTGCGTTTGCCAAGTATCTGCCCACTTAGCCAGTCTGTCCAAGTTACCCTGCAGCCTCTTAGCATCCTCCTCACAGCAAACACTGCCATCTGCAAATTTGGAGATATTGCACTAATTATTAACAGGTGTTTAGACTGCAGAGACTTTGCTTTATTTAGCTGAAGGCCTGACAGCTCTCGTGGCAGCCTCACTATGGCCTGCGAAAGTAATAAATGTAGTGCACATTTTTACCAGGTTAATTAAAAAAAAACTTGTCTACCATTCTCCCATAATGATACATCCCGAATTACAATGACAGCAGGTATTTAAACTTCAGTTAGAAGTCTGTCTGGAGATATACTTCACCACTTTAATATTGACAATAGCTTGATTCATATAACAAAATGTCTGATTAAACATGTATGAGTACACATTTAGTGCAGTCCTTTGGGAATAATTCACATACCACAATTGAGATTGGCACTTAGTCAGCATTTTTCAGTAAATGATGTGATCTTTTCAGTTATACTATTTGCAGTGTATGTATGATCCATGTAATTAATGGGAGAACTGCCATAAAAAGGATTCAACACATTATTAAAGCAATTCAAGTGGAATTTTCTGTTCCAACTGGCATTCTATGTAATTTCCTCTCTTCCCCTGAACTTACAATTACTGAAAACCCAACCATAACTGCAAAGAATCCAACTTAAAAAATCAGTGCTGCACACTGTGATAGGGATTGTAAAAGTCAAATTAATTTAATTAAGTTTACACAACTGGGACAATCAAGACATAAAAAGATCACACAGGATTCACGGACACACTTGATGGGATACCTAGATAACTGGGCAGTTCTCTCAGTGCCCTGGCCAATATTTAGAAATATAGAAAATAGGAGAAATAGCAGGCCATTCATCCCTTCGAGCCTGCTCTGCCATTCATCATGATCATGGCTGATTATCCAATTCAGTAACCCATTCCCACTTTCTGCCCATTCCATTTGATTCCTTTAGCCTTAAGAACTACATCAAATTCCTTCTTGAAAACATTTGATATTTTGAACTCAACTACTTATTGTGGTAGAGAATTCTACAGGCTCACATTCTCTGGGTGAAGAAATTTCTCCTCATCTCAGTCCAAAATTATCTACCCGTATCTTTAAACTGTGACTCGATTCAGGGCCTTAGTCTCAATCAACTATATCACTCTCCATCTTAATTAAAAATTCTATATTATGGTCACTCTTCCCCATGGGGTCACACAGAGCTAGACTGCCAATTATTCCTTTCTCATTACTCAACACTGTCTAGGAATGTCTGTTCTCTGGTTAGTTCCTCAACATATCAATCCAGAAAATCATCCCGTGACATTCCATGAATTCTTCCTCTATGATATTGTTATTGTTTTGCCATTCTATAGACGGGGTAAAGGTGCCTACAACCACAGCTGTACCTTTATTGCTTGCATCTTTAATTTCCTTTTAATGCTTCCCCAACATTACCACTACAGTTTGGGAGTCTATATGCAACCCCCACTACTGTTTTCTAGCCGTTAGCATTTCTGAGCTCTACCACACAGATTCTACTTCACCAGAACCAATATCCTTCCTCACTGTTGCTTGCATTAATTTTTTGTTTAACTAGTAAGGCTACCCCACTTCCTTTACCATTTTGGTATGTCCTTTCAAAAAATGAAATACCCCACATTTTAAGTTCTTAGCCCTGGTAATGTGCAGCCATGCCTCTCTAATCTGAACTATATCATACCCAGTTACACCTATTTGCATGACTAATTCATCCACTTTATTGCAAATCCCCCATTCAACTCAAGTCCTTAAGGCTCGTCTTTTTAACATTCTTACTCACATTTACATTATTTTGCACTATATCCCTGATTGATTGCTGCCCTTGAGTTCTTTTGTCCCTCATTTCCCAGTCTTTTTGTTTTTGCTGTTGTTTCCCCTCTCTTCTGTCTCCCTATATAGGTTACCATCTCTCTTCCATTTCAGTTTAAACCCCACACATTCCCCCAACCGCACTAGCAAGTACTCCCATTAGGACATCAGCTCCAGCTTGGTCATGATGAATCTGTCAGCAACGTACTGGTCCCACATCCCCCAGTACAGGTTCCAACGTCCCAGGAATCTGAAATCCTATCCCTTGCACCATCTCCCAGCCACGTATTCATCTAGTATATCCCTACTTCTTCCCTTAGGCTAGCAAGTGGCACTGGTAGCAATTCTGAGATCACTACCCTTGAGATTCTACTTTTTAAACTTGCTTCCTAACTCCCAATGTTCTACGGATCTCATTCCTTTTTTTTTAAGAAGATCCTGTCATTGGTACCAATGTGTTTCATGGCCACTGGCTGTTTATCTTCCACTCCAGAGCAGCTACAGGACATTCTGAGACAACCTTGACCCTAGCAACCGAGAGGCAACATACTTTCACAGTTTCATTTGTGGGCACAAAAATTGTATCTATTCCCTTTATGATTGAATCCCCTATTAATATAGCATTCCCAGACTCCTGCTCTCCCATGCAGCAGTGCCTAACAGTGCAATGAATTTGGCTGTTGCTACTTTCTATGGAGAGATCATTCCCCTGCAGAAACATCCAGATTTTGCAGGGGAATGGCCAAAGGAGAATCTTGCACTGCCAGCATAGTCCTTTTATTCTGTCTAGTGAATATCCATTACTTCTCTGTATGTGCTAGCCATGATACTCTCCGTGGTCCGGATGTTCCAGTGTCCCCAGTCACTGCTCCAGCTTCAAAACTCGGGCTTTCAGGGCCTCCAGCTGGAGACATTTCCTGCACACGTTCTGGTAATGAGCTCTGGTGTGGTGCCAGTATTCCTACATACGGCAACAGAAGAATGTCAGACTCAAGCTCTCCTTCCATCTTACCCTCTTTAAAATTAAACACTTTGACTGCCCTTAAAATCAAATAATATTGACTACTCTCAGGCCCGCACTCTCTGGGCATTAGCACTATTGCCCTTACAAAATATAAACTCAAATTAAAAACGTTACAAAATAAGTAATACAAATAGTATAAGTACTCACCAACCTTACTAACATAATCAGCACCTTCCTCTTGTCCTATATCACTTTTTGGCTGACTTTAAATTTCAAAAGCATACTTTATTCATAAAAATGGTTTAATATATATAGATATATTTACCCAGTCATAAATGCAGTTCGGTTCTGTACAGTAGCATATCAAGGAAACAAATGAACATTGGAGTTTGACTCTACCCAAACAAATGAAAGGCATCTCTTGCTTGAACCAGAATGCACTTTTTGACAGACTGCTGCACTGTAATGTAGCTGCAGGACACTCCTTGCAGATTGCTCCACTGTGACGCTAACTGTGAGACCCTCTTATCAGACTGCTTCACTGCAATTCTGAATGTGGGACACACTTCCTGGAGTGTTCCTTAAACAATATTAAATTGTAGAATCTTAGTGTTGGAGATTCACTATTCGTCTTTCTATTTTACAAAAGTGACAACAATTCAGAAGTTCTTCATTGTTGTACATCATTTTGGGATGTCCCGAGGCCATGAAAAGCACTACGCAGAAGTTGGTGGTCCAATCTCCATTGTACAACAGGAAATTCAAACATACAATTCCATACTGATTCTAGTACTTCAGCGTGGTATCATGGTTCTCCATGGTATCTGAGACTATGAAGAAATTGCAACAGATTCATCTTTAGAACTGCCACCCTGGCATTCAGTTTGCACTGTTAGACTGTGATGTTTATGTGCTCTGTGATCATATTGCTAAATCCAACATTTTTTCCCCCCTCAGAAAATCATAAAACAACACTTTTGGATCTACTTTCTGCAGCATGGGCAAAGAGCTAGCTGTAATAAACACTGAACAGGGGTCACTGGACCCGAAACGTTAACTCTGCCTTCTTTCCACAGATGCTGCCGGACTTGCTGAGTTTCTCCAGCAACTTGTTTTTGTTTGATTTCTAGCATCCACAGTGCTTTGGGTTTTTCTGTAGAAAACATTGGCTGATTCACAGAATTCCTGACTGGAATTAAGTGTTAAAGTAAAAAATGTCTCGGCAACACTTCTAAAAATGAGTGACCTGTACATTTCTCCACCAATCCTAAACTTGCAGCTTCAACAACACTACAGAACTCAACAGCATCCAAGAGAACCTGTTTAATTTGCATCCCACATCGAAAATTTACCCCCTCCAACACTGATGCACAGTGGAAGAGATGTGTACCATACGCAAAAGCTCTGCAACAACTTATCAAGCATCCTTCAGCAGTATCTTCCAAACCCACGAACTCTACCACCAAGAAGGGCAATGACAGGAGATGCAGGGAACATATTATCCAAAGAATCTCTCCAAACCATACATTCTGAATTGGAACTATATCGTCATTCCTTCGCTGTTGCTGGGTCAAACTCCTGAAAAGCTATTTCTAACAGCACCATTATATCTACACCCCACAGACTGCAGTGGTTCAAAAAGGCAACTCACCACCATTTGAGGTTAATTAGGGATCTGGCCCAGGCAGCAACACCAACATCCTGTGAACAAATAATGATGACAGTAAAGTCATCACAGTCCCAAAGGACCACAAGACGACTCTCTTATTAGAGGGACATGACTGGTAGTGGTTTAACCTCAGGTGAGGTCGAAAAGATGGGACCTTCGGTATGGGAACTGAACTCACAACGTAGATGTCACTCTGCATCGCATATCAGTCATTCAGCCAAATGTGCTAACGGACCCCCCAATAACGACAGTACAAGGATGTGAAGAATCGTAAAAACCTACAACACAGAAGGAGCTATTCTGCAGCTGTGTCTGTGCTGTCTCTCTGAAAAGAGCAGTTATGCTTAGTTTTAGTCCCAAACCCCTTCTTCAAAATTTGCATAATCATGAAATAATATAGCATGCAATATCATTTTTTTTTAAAGCAATACCTTACGGTGTCTGCTCTCTGCAGCAGCCAGCTGGGATACCATTCGTTCCTGCATCTTCTTGCACTGTGTCATTACCACTTTGAGTACAGATAGTGGGTTGGTACACACAGGCTGCTTGTCACCACAGTTTCCACCCCTGATCGACTCACAATCCCTTTGTAGAGCAAGGAATGGGTCACTGATGTCATATTTTCCATAGCGCTCTTGGATGAAACGATCTCTGTGCTGTGCCTGCAACAAAACCCAGGGACATTTAGAACGTAAAATGCTAGTTTGATCCTTATTTTAACCCTATTTCAAATGAACATATGGCACCAGAATATTAATTTGAAAAATAACATAGGAAAACGTAGAATCAGAGAGGTCTCTGCTGCCTGCCTCTCCAGCTTTTTTAAAAAACAAACTTCCCAATTGCCCATTCCCAAGAATATCTTGCAGGCCTCAATTCATTTTCTCCCACACTGTGTGCCTCCACTTTATTCACAAGTTACCATTTTCCTAGGCAATGGAAGGAAACTAGATGGTGACAATCCCAACAAGAAAGCCTAAAACAAGTACCAGTTGGCTGCAACTCGCTGGTGTCCTGAATCTCCAGTCTTAGCCAGCATTCCCAATACCTCAGAGTACACTTCATGTGAATTAATTAACTGCCTCCCCATCTCAGTGCTTCAAAGTGCCAGTCTCAACACATCACAATGGCACATCTCAAACTCTTGCACTATAGTTCATCTCTTCAATTAGGCAGTTTGGAGGTCACTGATGAGTTCCTGTTGCTGCACGCAAAGCATATCTCACACTTGAGAACAAGTGTATCTCAGGGATCCTAGCTTGCTCTCTTTGCATTCACTCACCATACCTACTTACATGCTCACAGCATTTCTGCTTTGCCTTGCCTTTTGGTGCAAACAAATCCAGGCAGACTGTCATGTTCGCCAACAATGAACAATTAAGGGAGTGGACATGTTATTGTGGAACCATGTTACATTAAAATGTTAGACTTACACCATGGGCCAACAGCTTACACATTAAACACAGCGTGCTTCAACCAAAATGGCCATATCTAGAAGTCTAAGGGGAATAGCCCTCGTTGAGGGGAACAATTATCAGGGGTGTGGCCATAGTCAGTCAAAGGAACAGTATCAGTCCTGGAGTTTGAAGATGGTCAGTGGGCCATTTACAGCAATCAGCGGGTTTTGGAGGAGGTGGGGGGTGGTGGGAATGCGGTTCCGTACCATTACAGTCCAAAAAGTGGACCATGATGTGTTCTGCAGGTCCAGGGCAGTGAGTCTGGGTATTACTGGCAAGTCATTGGGGAGCTGCAAAGAGATCTGTCAAGGACCCGGTTACTCATCAGTCGGAGCTGTCCTTCTAAGTTGGTTGGTGGGGGAATGGGCCATAGTGTACAAACCTTCAGGACTGACTAAGGGGAGGGATTTTACTGGGGTCAGTGCTGTGATGGGCAAGTCAATTATGGGGATTGGGTGCAGTGGTAATGCCACTGGACTAGAAATCCAGAACCCAAGGTCTAGGGCATGGATTTAAATCCCATCATGGCAGATAGTAAAATTTGAATTTAATAAAAAATATCTGAAAGAATAAGCTAGCCTAACAGCCAACATCCTTGATGCATCAAGAATGTTACCAATTCAATTTGTGCAAAATCACATCACTTCATCCTGTTTCCCTGTGGCAAGGTCTGTGCTGAAGCTTGGGTGGTAGACTTCGCTAACACAGCTAGCTTCTCTCAGGTTAAATTCCGCATACACTTTGCTCAGACAATGACATACAATAAGACATTTACTTCATCAATAGAAAAGGGTTCCATTCAGTCAGGTCATTTGTGATCATCAGTACCATATTTTAGCGGTCTGACAGACAGTCAGACAGTGCTTAATTTACACTCACTTCCAACCGATCAGAGTTGGGTGAAGTTGTCATTGTAAATGTGTTGTCCTGTTTAGTCACAGAAGCAAATGCAGGTAGTTTTTGTTGTTTGTTTGTTCTTCCTTTGCTTTTTTGGTTGTTACATACATATCACAATTGCAAGTATTATGTCAACTCCTATAATTATCAGCGGAGTTGAATCAGAAATGAATAGCTCCAAAATTTGAACCATGCTTCAGTTTCAGTCTGAAATAGTTGATTCATACAGATTACAAGTCACGATTCCTATATCCAAAAACCTTGGGACCAGCTGTTTCTTGGATAAAGGATACTTTTGGTTTTCATAGGTCTAAATGCATACAGGTCCAATTTGGGTCTGTTTGAGCCCTTTTGGGCCCTTTGGTCAAAACTTAACTTGGCTTGAACATAACTTCATTTTTAGCTATGTTAGGGTATTTTCCAAAGGACCTGAAGGGACCTGAACAGACCTGTCGACAACAGAGTTTGGGTCTCTGAACAAAAGGCTTCACCTTTTAGATCCATTAGGGTGTATTTTGGCCAAGTGAAGTTGTTTTCCCCAAAAAAGGCCAGAAATCTGTTTCGACAGCTGTTTGGGTCTAGTTTCAAAAAGACCTTCGGTTTTTAGGTCTTTTCGATTTTCAGACAGGCAGATAAATGATACCCCACCTGCTTTTGTCCCCAACATTATGCAGAGCTTCAATTTATGGATGTAGTCATCATCTAAAGTTCTCAGCTAAGTTTCCTCACTGCCTTCTCCCCACTATGTCACTTATTCATCCAAAAAACAATGAAAATACCATTCAGCAGGCTTCTAATAATGACAGTTTCTATCTTGTTGGGACAGTGCCATATCCATTCTTTGGCTTATATTACATAACTGGATCTGCACTACCAGCCAAAATTCTGCATGGAGCGCACTTTGTTGACTTTGATTTATTAAAAATGCTAAATATTTCAGATGCTGCAAATCTACATACAGAGAACACTCGTAGCACTTGCCAGGTTTCTGGGGAAGAGGAGAACAGATGTTTGGGGTTGAATCTTTGTTGAAACTGGTTTAGATCATGCCAATGACAAGCAAGTCACTTCAGAGGACAATGTGAGCATTTAGTATTTCAGTTGTTGCCAATTTATTTGGTCAAGGTGTGTGGAGTGCTTAAACTTACTTTGCACAGGGAAAGCAAATGCACAAAAGGTATTTGGGGGTGGTTCCTGGTGCTGTAGCAACTGCCCCAAAATTCGGAGGACTAATTTTCACAGCACACAGTTGTAGCTCTGCAGTAAAGACATCAACTTAACATCTAACAGTGAAAAGATAAGAAACAACAGATTATTCCACACACAACACACATATGCCAACAGTTCCAAACATTCAGCACTACGCACATGTAGAATTGTTAGATAAAGCCAAAATGGAAAAAAAAAATCCTAATTTTGAGCAATGCTTTATAAAATAACAGCTACTGGAATTCAATAATGGAAAATAATTCAGGGCTTGAGCTGTATTTATTAGATTAAGGCTTTTTAAAAAAAAAGTACTCATCAGCCAAACTTAAAAGCATTGCAATATTCCAGGACAAAAAATCCATAGAAATTCCAATGGGCACAATTACAGGGCAGTAAATTACTAAAGACAGATAATGAGCCAGAAATTTGCACTTCATAGTGAATTTCAGTCAGCAACAAATGCTTTCACTCCAGAACATAACCACCTGGAATACTGATCCCAGTGGGGGAATATATTGCAATTACAGTCACAGTGGCCATTGACCGGCCAACTTAGTCTTCCTGCTGCATGCATCACAATTGAGGCAACTTTTCCAAATCCACTATTCTGAATGCTAGCTTTTATGTTTAAAATACACAGTCAAGAGAAAGCACAAACAAACACAAAGAATGTTGAAAAAACACCACCAGTATGGCAGCATTTGTGGAGAAAGGATTACAGTTAATACTTCAAGTTTTGTATAACTTCTCTTCAGAGCTTCTGAAGAAGTCATACTGAACTCAAAGCATTAACTCTTGTTTCTCTCTCCACATACGCTGCCAAATCTGCTATGTCTCAGCTTTCCAGCATCTGCAGTATTTTTCTCTATTATAAGGGAGACAGCAAGTTAGAAATACACTAAAATATAGTAGTCTTCTTTAATAACTGATTGAAGTATAGAATCATAGAATTTTACAGCACAGGAGGCCATTTAGCTCATCATGTCAGTACTGGCTCCCCAAAGATCTATCCAGCCATGTCATTCTCCAGCACTATCTCCATAGTTTTCCAAATTCATCACTTTCAAATATATATCCAATTTCATTTAGAGCCTACGAATACAATCATTAGATCTATGGAATATTCTCTACAATCTACCATCAAATCACTTTGATAGTGAAATGGTAAACTAAAATCAGAAGATGGACATTGTTAAGAAATTCTGTATTTGTTTAAGCTTTCAAAGATGATTCATACAGGCATGAACTCTTCTGTTACAGCTCTTATTACAATTAATTAATATAATTAAAATGGATAAGAGAAAATATGAAAATGAGAAAAACTGCAAATCTTGAATTATGTTTGTTAACCTTTCAGAGTCAGTAGCAAGTGATCTTGCACAGAAAATATTTGGCTTAGGCCAGGAATATGTTTTCCATAATAGATTTTTAGGTTCATTCCAACCAGTGCAGAATTCTAAAGCATTCATCCTATTCTGATTCGTTCCAACAACATTTGCTCATAATCAAAATGATGCACTTCAATATAAACTGCTGATCCAAGCATAACATTTTTTAATTATCTGATTTATATTACCAAGGAATTTAGCTTACATGATGCCAAGCATCTCCCAGACTTCACATTTTTAAATTTGATGTCTAATATATTTAATGGTCAATTACATTAGTGAATAAATTAATCAATAGGGTGAGATACAAATTATCACTTTGTTAACCTACACAATACAGAAATTCAGATTTCCTGTCAAATGAGTTATACATTTATGGTGACTTATCAGCAACAATCACAAAGAAAAGGCAGGTATGAATTGTTCTTTGTTTAGAATATTTGTGTGGTATTGAATTAAAGCCAATTTGTCACTTCCTTCACAATGGGGTTCCATCAACAAGGGCATCCTCTTCATATATCTATCCTGTCTACATAGAGATTCAACATTTTCTTTTTACTGAAGATTCTGGTGGTGCTACACCTAGCATGGAAAGAAATACAGTAATAGTCTTGCAGTTTAAAAAGTAACTGAAATCTTCATCTGCATTGCTAGCAATAACTTATGGGAAGGCATTATTTTCCAAGAAACATTACATCACCCAAAGCACAG